AAATTTACTCTAATCCTTACAGACTTCATATAAATTTAAGAATATCTATTTATCTATTGTCTGGTGCCCTGAAAAGATTATGCAAGTCTATATAAGAAAATTTAAACATCCCATTTCTACATACACAACTTACACATGGCTTTGGCTCAGCTTATTAATTCTAATTTTAAAAGCAATTATCTTTCCCATAAGAGATAGGAATTACTATTATTATATCTTAGAGTATGTATCACAAATTGAAAATAAGTAAAAAATATTTAATTTTCAAGTGAGAGCACAGGCTGTGGGTAGCTATGATAGGACAGCAACATTTACAGGCTTTAGAAGGCTAAACTATACCTAAAATGCTGAATATGGACTAAATATGCACAGCAGAACTCTATCAGCCCATATAACTTAAAACAAGTGAGCTCTCCCTGCTAAGTGGTAGCAAACAGCAACCCTTGTAAACTGAAGATACTTTCTGCTTCTGCCTTCAGGTAAGAGAAGGCAATGCCTTGATTTGTAGAAACAAACACCAACCACCAGAATGCCTTTACAACCACACTAACTTCCCATTATTTTATATGCATGTTAAGGTGTCCCATTTTGAAGTGGAAAGCCAATGGATAAGTACAGTACAAATATTAGAATAAAAAATTAACTTCCATTATACCATTGTACCATATAGTCTATTGGATAAAATCATTATGACTGTCATCATAATTTCAGCTTGAAAAAGATGCTAATTAAGAATCAGAAAAAGTACAGGAAATTGAGAATAATTTATCAGTATTTAAACATTGTGAAAAATTGTTATTAAATATGTCATGAAACGGAAAATAATTTAAATAGTTAAAAAAGCAAGATGGTAATACATCTGATAATTTGGAGCAGCCTGATGGATTTAATAATGAGTTCTGGAAGTTGATGAAGGACCAAAACAAAACTAGGGAATTAAATCCCTCTATTTAAAAATAGAATAGATAGATAAATTTCCCTTACAAAGACAACAGATTAAAAGAAAATGAGGAATTAATATGAAATTCCATCATGAAAGAGCAGGATGTGCAATGACTTCAAATTAATTAAAATTTTGTAAGAAAGGTTTATAAGCATCTAGGAAAATATTCGTGGTAACATGATAAATGTGCTCCTGCGAGTATGGTAAAGACGTTTTGCTGTAGTCTTCTTTTAGTGTGAACACCACTGAACATTTATGTGTGGAGCTAACTGAGCCTTTTCAAGTCTTCAAGTCTTCTGAAAACATTTTGCTAATGTATTCCTGTTAACTACAGCTACAATTTATCACTCTCTTATTTGCAGGATCAGAGTATCACGTCAATGTTGGTTGGAAGTGACTTCTCAAGGTCATCTAGTACAACCTCCTACTCAAAGCAGGGTTCCTGCCAGCACCAGTGGGTCAGGACAGTTGTGGAAATGTCTCACCAAATCTCTGAAGACCCGTGGCAGTGTGTGTCAGTGCTGTATCACCCCATGGTGAGGAAGATTCTCCAGATGTCCAGCTGGGACCTCTCATGCTTTGATTTATGACCCTTGCTATCTCACCTGCCACTGCAGGGAAGAGTTTGGCTCTGCCATCCCTCTAACTGCCCTTCAAGTAGCTGTGGGCTGTTCATAGAGGCCTCCTTGGCTGTCTCTTGGTGGGAGTCAACAAAGTGAGGTTTCTCAGCCTCAGCTCTCAGGTGGCCTGGCCACATTTGTAGCTTTGTGCTGGATTCCCATTCCCTTCCTCGCACCTCTCTTGAATTTGGGTGTGAGAAGCCACCAAATTGAGCACAGTTTTACAGGTGCAGCTTCAACTGTGCCAGTAGATGAGACATAACAAGTTCCATTGACCAATGGGATTTGTTTTGCTTTTTTTTTTATGTTCAGCTTTTCTATTGGTTTAAAACACTTCTGCAATTGTACTAGACTAGTGCAGAGGAAATGAGTAACAGAAGTAGATTTGTGTTCATTTGGTCTGTGATTCAACTGCAAACCTTCTTCTCTTCTCAGGAGCACCTCAGACAAACATTTCCCAAAAGCCTATAAAGAAAATTTAAATAGGTGGCAAGGTTACTTTGGCATGCAGGGATCAAGGAACTTGAAAAAGATCTTGTTGCCTCACAGATGATGATCCCAGAAATATCAAAGAGGACATAATCTTAGTATTGAGCCTTGCCCAGGAGACTTTCAGCATGTTTGAAATGGCAGAGCTGGGATGGATACAGGAAATTTGTCTTTTTGGTGAGATGACTTTATTTTGGTAGGGCACCAAAACGTGGTTACTTCTACCAGAAAGGCCCTAATAGATGTCAGACAGAAAAAGGGAAAGGGAGAAAGTGTGACAAATGGAGAGCCCAGAAGGCAAAAATCATATCCAAGAGAGGATGCTGCTTGATAGACCCAGTCTTTGAGACAGTTATCCATGCTTTGATCGCAGTACAATTTGATTATAAACAGGAAAAAATAGATTCCCTATCACAGCCTGCAACCTGAAAATCAGAAAGACTGAAAGAAGCACTGGAGACTGTGGAAAACCTGACAGACTCTCTGGAGACAGCACAGTATATTAGCCTGTAAGCTGAAACCAAATTAATGGAGATGCCATTTAGAACAGTCCAGTTTCTCCCAACAAGGAAGGTGCATTCTTTCTGGTGATGGTGAGACTTTGAAGGGATCCTTGACTGGTTTGTCTGGAAAAGCCAAACCAGATGACATGCTCTGGACAGAGCAATGCCTTAAAGCCTCCTGGCTACTGATCCTCCACAGTGAGGCAAGTAGTTTCTCCAAGCTCAGTTAATGTCCTGGCATTCAAGGGAGCAGACACGTCTCCCCTCACCCCAAATGCTGCACTCCTGAGGGCATCAGTTGGCTTTTCCCTCACGTAGCTAGACTCTCTTTAAAATTGAGGGGAATGAAAAAAGACAAAAAAAAACCCAAAACAAACAACCCCAACAACAACCAACATAATATAAATTGTAAACTATCACACACACAAAAAAAATAATCCAAATATGATGAGAAGAATTATTTAAAAAAAAATAATTTGTTTTTAGACTTGGAATATGGCATAGCATTTCCCATCATCAGTCAGGACCTTTACACCTCAAAGAATAACAGAAGCTTCCATTTTTTCAAGGTTGTTCTTTTTTTCTTTTTTCTTTCTTTTTTTTTTTCTTTTAATTTAAACACAGTCAGAAATCAATGAAACTGTAGGAGCCCTCTCGTGCAGTTGGAGTAATCCTCTGTACAATAAAGTAGTCCCCAGTGCTGATTCTTGTTCTTCCCATGTCTGACAGGAAACCCATGGTCTAATTATGCTTTTGCATGAACATAACTTTCTACATAACAACTCTCAAGTGAGACATGATACTTCTGTTATCATCCTAGAACTGACAAGGTAGCCCCTATATGGAAACCTTTGTACACAGGGAATCTACTAGCAGATAAATAATGCAACCATTTAATATTTTCAATTTTTTTCTTCATTTCTGAACCAATGATATTTCAGTAGATAGTAATGCTCAAGGAGACACCAAAGAAGAATCAAAACATCAGTGAAAAAGCAACTTCGTAAGAAACATCATCTTCTTATGAAGAGATAAAGATAGCTAGAGAGACTTGAAAAATGAAAACTGAGAAAGTGCTTACAATCTTGAACTGTGACTTATGAACTTACATGACTTACGAGTTATACATTACCCATACTATGTGCTCTACATGCTATCTCCACATTCAGGTGAATAGCTAGTCAATTCCTTGTACTGTGCAATCTGTATTTTCTGTTTACCAGCTAACTCTCTGCTTACTTGTCAAGTCATCAAAGCTTAGGAAAGCTACAGCATAGTCTTAGAAAACATCCACCCAATTTCTGTAATAGCTTTTAAAGAAACTGTCCAAGTAAGCCTGGAAAAATCTGCATACTGAAGTAAATCTGTATTTTCCTAAGACAATTATTCTTTAAATTCTGCTTCTCCTACAGAGATTTATCTATGCTTTTCTATCTTCCTCAGGTAAAATTCACTCTGAATTCACTGGGAGCTTCTTGGAAGAAATTAGTATTTCATAATGTTGGAAATCCCAAGCCAGAGTAGATTTCTTACTCACAATTCTCTCAATCAAAAACTGAGACAGAATTTGACAAAAAAACTGTGTAGCACAAATATTTCAACACACAATAGGAAGTTCTACTCATTTTCAGAGACAAAGTAGCCATACTCAACTATTTTTTTAAAGTATCAATGAAGAATGGTATTTTCAACTAATGGAAAATCTGATGAGGTCAAAGGAAATGTCTGAAGTTATTTCAAGTGAGGGTGCTGCTATTTTATCAAAGGTAGAGTTTTACCTCTGCATACACATCCTTGAAAAATATCAGTGCTCTTTCCAAGATAAGAGATATTAACATTTTGTGCAGTAAATTGGATTGACACACTTTGAAAAGTAAACATTTCAAAGACCCTTTTTTTAAATTCTCCCAGTGGCAATTTAAATCTTCATTGAATCAATAAATTAGCCCTATTAAGAGCAATGTAAAATGGACCTTTCAATTTCACTAATTCTTTACACCTGTGCAAAGGCAGTGCTAACCTACAACCACAATACTAGGGTCTTTACAGCTTCTTTCTCTAGCATAGAGGGCTGCAGCAGGTGCTGAGGAAATAAATAGATCTAGGAATTCTGATGCTACTAATTCAAGTGATCTACAGACTCCATTGATTTCAATGACCTTAGCCAGTTTAGACTAGCTAGTAATCTAATACCTGATTAACTTGCTATCATGATGATCTGCTCTTAAAGGAAAGAACAACGGATCTGCATTACCTGCTCCATTTATACACCAGAGCCTTAGGGAAAGGCAGTAAGTCAGAAGGGCTCAGACAACTCTTTAGAATCCAAACATTACAGAAACAAAAATGCTAATTAAGGAACAAATTGGCCAAGCTGTTTTAAAAACTGACACATGAAAGCTTTAGAAAACAAAGGTTACCTCTAGAGCTTAAAGAGCAGGTTACCTGATTTTTTTGCAGATCAGCAGTACTGTGGGAAAGCACAGCACCTGGAACATGCCCTTCGCCAGGTTTCCCTGCCCCGGTGCCAGGAGAAGGGTGGGATGTGGTCAGCAGCTGAGCACTGATGGGATCGTAGCCGTTGGAAGGCTGATGAACATTTTTCAAGGTAGCAGCTACTTCATCTTCATCACCTGAGTCTGTAATCAGGATAAACTCAGCCTTGAAAAGATCATTCTCCTGCATTTCTCCTTTGCTCGAGCTACACCCCGGTGGCTGGAAAGGCGTTGGGGTGCTGTCTGTACCGACGGTGGACACACAGTCTGGTCTGGCTCCGCTCTTTAAGGCCAGATCACCAGGGACCGCATTAGACTGCAAAAGACACAAGGCAAAAGATCTCAGTTAGCTGCATCTTATTTATGTTCCCCAAAGCGTCAAGTAATTTTGGCTTGCAGCGCTGGCTGGCACTGAAGTACCAGCAATGCAGAAGGTGAAGGGAGAACGCGGGCACGAGCACCCAGCAGAAAGCAGTCCCTCCGGGATTTCCCCACTTCCAACTCCCCAGACGATGCTGCAGGAGCTGCCTTCCTGGCCCTTGCAGAGCAACAGGGGACTCTGTACACAAGGACGGCCTGAGCCCTGGAGCTGCCGCGGGAACTGAAAACGAGGGTGCAATCAAGCCAAATGAGCTGTCGGACCAGACTACACCAGACACGATGGGAAGGCATCCCGACTGCAGGATCCACGGGAGAGGACAATGCTCCTCAGAGGAGTCTGACAGACAAATCTGGGACAAAACCTATACATATTAATGAAGAAACAAAGGCCTTTAAGCCAGGGCGTTCTCTAAAGAGAGCAGACAAAGAACCTGAGGTCAGAGAGCTTTACTGTATGTTCAACCTTCTCAGCACAGACCACAATTGTTTGTATTTTCTGCTATCTCCTCTTCCCATGTGCAATTTCTCAGGCATGCTTTGCAGGAGAGCAGGAGTAGTACAAGCTGGACATGAAACATGCACACCCCCAAGTCATTCAACATTGCAACAGCTAAAGCAGGAATCAGGTAAATTATTAGAAATATTGTGTACTGCAAGAGAAAGCCTGTAGATGGGGCTCATATGCGAATCCTGCTTGGGGAATGTAGTAATGACACATTTCCACTGGCAGCTCCACGAGTCCCAGGAGCTCACTTATTTTGAAAAATATTGGACCATCATGGGGCATACTACCAGTATGAGTTTGGAGATGTTGCTTTCATTATCTGGTTTGGTATTTAAAATATTGTTCAGGTTCTAGATATTTTAGAAAAGGGAGTAGTCAGTGCTATGAAGACCTCAGTGCTGCATTGCCTGCCAGGAAAGTTTTCTCTGCCTACAAACACAGGGAGACAGAGGTCAGGAACATCTGATTCTGCCTTACCCAGGGCACTACTTACAGCCAAACCCCATACTGAGTGGCTGGAAATGTAACTCATGAGTCACATTATCTGGAGGATAATATTCCAGTGCATGTCTCTTCAAACAAGCCCATTCTCTGCCCAGGCCAACCCCTTTTTTAGTCAGACGGGCTACTGAAAATGCTAAAACCTGTTCAGGTCAGAGGACTCTGAACTTCTGGGGAGTTTATTAGCACCAAGAACTGCAGCCCCAGCAATGTCCGAGGGAAGGAGCTGTTACACAAGAGCAGAGCCACCATAAGCATTAATACTAATCTGAGGGTTCCGGTTTCCTCTCAAGTGGCATGGAATAAAGTAAAAGAGGCTGTTAAGCATTGTGAGATGGGAAAGGAATAACAGACACTATGGACTGGTAAAAACAGCAGGAGAACCAGCAAGGTTGTACTGCTCACTTCACTATCACAGGAAATCATGGGTACAAGCTTTCAAAACCAAAAAGCAAGTTTTCACTTTGATGCATTCCTAGGCAGCTATGAAGGGTATTGACACCTTTGCTGGAAGCCACAGCACTGGCATTTGCTGAAACTAGGATCCAGTGACCACCTCTTGGTCGATTCCCAAATGATAACACTGCTCACACACCACCCTTGGTCCCAAGAAGATCAGGAAGGAATCTCCCCTTATCTGACAATATGACTGACAGACAACACTACTGAGATGGGTTTCCTTCCAATATAAAGTCTGCCACAGGCAAAACAGGTTGTTGAGCAAATGTCAGCCTTTTCTTGTGCAATGATTCAGCATCTCCAGTAGATTTGGTAATTAAAACAAAGCATAAGCCTAGAAACAGTTCAAGGGAAAGA